CCTCCTCCCCTACACGCCACGCCATGTCCCCGCCCCTGCCTCCCCTCTCACTGCGCCCCACATGCCCGCTGCTCCTGCACACACACTGTCTCCCCGTTTGAATGTGCTCCCATCTCTGTGATTTTGCAAATGCTGTTCCCTGGCCTTGACCCACTGTTCTGGTAGCTGTATCTGAAAACTCCTACTCACACCTCAAGACCCAACTCAGATGCCCCACTTTCCCTGTGCCCTCAGCAGGCTGTGCCTGTGGCTCTCAGACACCGTGCACTGGAGTGGAGGTCTTCCTTTGCACGTGTCCCCCATTCAACCGTGAGCCCCTCAGAGCGAGTGTTCGTCTCGTTCATCTTTGCAGCACCTTCCGGGGCAACGCCTAGCGCACTCAGCCTCAGTAACGATCTGACGAAGGGATGAAAGACAACAAGTAAGGAGCTGGTGATCTGAATGGGAAGATGGCGCTTTGTGCTGGAGATGCTGTGTTCATCCTGCCCCCGCATCCTCCAGAGAATCCCTTCTGAGGACCAGCTTGTGTGTGGGCCCATGTGAGCAAGCAGGGCTCACGGGAGCGCCTCGGAACCGAGCAGTTAGAAGCAGGTGGTGGCTCGCGTGCACACATTCCCTCGGGAAGAGGCTCCGTGTCTTTCCTGCCTGCCGTGTGGGTAGCAGCAAACACACCCAGCACATGCTGGAGGTGGACATGTGCAGCCACGGGGCTGCCTGCAGCCTGGGCAAGGCTCACGGTGCCGTAACAGGGGCTTAGGGGCTCCCTGCCGGGCGCTGTGTCTGGAGCCCTGGGGCCGCCGTGTCATATTGTTGTAGCAGAAAACACACCTCCCTATTACCACGGGGACAACATTCAAATATTGACATTATACTTATAATGGCTGCTCAAGGAGGGCTGAACGGCCACTCCGTTCCTTCGTGATGACATTCAGCGGGTCCCAGTGGGAGCCGACAGTGACGCCCAGGGAGGACGGGAGGCCTGTCACCGCCTGGGGTCTGTGCTCTCATCGAGGAAACCGAGGGGAGAAGGGAGCCCGGGTCCGCCTCCTGGCTGCGCGAGGCCAGCCAGGTGGATGGGGCCTGGGGAGTGGCCGTGGCTGGGAAAGGGCTGGAAGGGGTCCTTGCAACTCCCAGAGCCGTCGGCACCGCTGAGCCCGATTTATAGAAAGAAACCCATGCGAGTGCACGCAGTTCCCGCGCAGAGCGACGACTGAGAGACAGTGAGAGCGGTCCATCGGGTGTGTCTTCTACGCTGAGCCTGCGTGTCCAGGCCTCCTGCACTGAACGCTACTCTGGGTGGTTTTCTTGACTAAGAGGACAGAACAGTGCCTCGGGAGGTGGCTGTGTTCTGTGTACCCCTGTGGGCAGCGGAGAGGCGGGCCGGGTGTTGATCATCCCTAAGTGAGGCCCCATATAGCCCGTGCCCCCATCATCCCTAAGTGAGGCCCCATATAGCCCGTGCCCCCATCATCCCTAAGTGAGGCCCCATATAGCCCGTGCCCCCATCATCCCTAAGTGAGGCCCCATATAGCCCGTGCCCCCATCATCCCTAAGTGAGGCCCCATATAGCCCGTGCCCCCATCATCCCTAAGTGAGGCCCCATATAGCCCGTGCCCCCATCATCCCTAAGTGAGGCCCCATATAGCCCGTGCCCCCATCATCCCTAAGTGAGGCCCCATATAGCCCGTGCCCCCATCATCCCTAAGTGAGGCCCCATATAGCCCGTGCCCCCATCATCCCTAAGTGAGGCCCCATATAGCCCGTGCCCCCATCATCCCTAAGTGAGGCCCCATATAGCCCGTGCCCCCATCATCCCTAAGTGAGGCCCCATATAGCCCGTGCCCCCATCATCCCTAAGTGAGGCCCCATATAGCCCGTGCCCCCATCATCCCTAAGTGAGGCCCCATATAGCCCGTGCCCCCATCATCCCTAAGTGAGGCCCCATATAGCCCGTGCCCCCATCATCCCTAAGTGAGGCCCCATATAGCCCGTGCCCCCATCATCCCTAAGTGAGGCCCCATATAGCCCGTGCCCCCATCATCCCTAAGTGAGGCCCCATATAGCCCATGCCCCCATCATCCCTAAGTGAGGCCCCATATAGCCAGTGCCCCCATCATCCCCAAGTGAGGCCCCATATAGCCCGTGCCCCCATCATCCCCAAGTGAGGCCCCATATAGCCCGTGCCCCCATCATCCCTAAGTGAGGCCCCATATAAGCCTGTGCCCCCATCATCCCTAAGTGAGGCCTGGACAGCCAATGTACCGACTGCAGGGAAGGGCTGCAGGGAGGGCAGAGGGAGCACTGTGTCCTGGGAGGAGCCGACCAGATGGGCTCTAGGGGTCACAGCCCAGGCGGCGAGTGGCCGAGTGGCCGGCTGAGCCGGGCAGGAGCCAGGCCACGCTTACCGGGAAGTTTTCCCTCAGTCTCTGGGGCAGAAGCCTCAGGCACTCCTCGGCGGTCACGAAGTAGCTGGCCAGGTTGTTTTTTGGAAGAACTGAGGTCTGAGATGCAGTCACTTGCAGCCCATTCGTTTTAGCTCCTGAAACGATCGCGTAGGTCAGAGGCCCGTCTCCAGGGCCCTGCGCACCTCCCACCTCTACGCCAGCACTGCATTCTCCCGCCCGAGGCCCATAAGCCACCCACACGGGCTCCGGGCTGCAGCTGACCACACGGAACTGCGCTGGGACCCGCTGTCCTGTCCCTCAGCTCCTCGGACACTTCCCTCTCAGGAGGAGCCTGCCCTCCGGACGGCGGGGCCTCGCTCCTGCCCAGCACGTGCTGCCCCGGCCCTCGCACGCGCCCTCATCCTGCACCCCCCCGCCCCGTCCTTTCTCCGGGACAGGGACACGTCTCACTCACGCCCGCAGGCCCAGGCCGAGGACAGAACTCCTGCCTGGGTTTTGTTTCCTGGAATCATGTCCTGAACCCAGAAGGTGAAGTTCGGTCCACATTCACTAATTCAACGGCCGTTTCCTGCCCAGGAACCTGCTCAATCCTGCGCCTGGCCCTTTCAACCCGAGACGGAGCCTCCTCCATGCCCGCTTGCTCGGAGGAAGGCTACTGTTATGCCCCCTTTAGGGTGAGGAGCTGGAGCTCTGGGGGCCCAACTCCCCCAAGGTGAGCGCTCACGGACAGCACAGCGGAACCAGGCCCGCCAGCCCCAGGCCCAGCTGCTCGGTTACTGCGTCGGGCCGCGCCGGCGCCTGAAACCAGGAAGGCAGCAGGACGCGCTCAGAAACCCATCCGTCCATCAGGTGGGACGGTGAGTGCGGCCCTGTCTGGAGCCTGTGAACGGGGACGTGGTTTCAGACGTGGTTCTGCAAGGTAGCAACCCCCTCTCTGCCCCCGACGGACGCGTCTGCGGGCTGGACGTGGGCAGTACGCCCGGAGCTCACGGCACCCTGTGGCCCAGGGGTGAACCTGGCTTCTGCCCGCTCCGCCTGGGCCTGCAGGGGCCTCCCCCAGGTTCGGTGCGCCTGGCAGGTAACACCTCCTGAGCTGCTTGGCCATGACCCCCTCACCCCCGGACCTCTGGCCGGAACCTCAATCCCACCAACCACGTGGGAGACAGACAGCACTGGGACTGAAGGAAAGTGAGGGAAAGAACAGGCGGGGCTGGGAGCAGCCGGCAGCTATGATCGAGTTCCCGCTGTGCAGGACTCAGTGCGCGGGGACCGCAGGCAGTGACCGACCCGCCTGGCCCCCATTCCCTCCCTGAGAAATGGAAGCACCTGGCACACTGGACACACTCCCTGAAATAAATGTGGTTCCTTTTCCTTCAAAACATATACCGTCAGTGCGTCACAATTCCAAATGCGATGGCTTCTGGCATGCCCTTTACCTCACGTGGGGACCGCTGTCCCCGGGGCCTGGCAGATGGAGGTCAGGGGGCAGGGGGGCCTCCACGTCTCCCTGGTGAGGAGCCCAGAGCCACTCTACCGGAGCCCCAGGGCACCGCCCCGACCAAGCTCCAGACGCTGCGAGATGCCCACGGCTCCGGGCTCTGCCCAGGGCAGCCTGCAGCGCGCTTGCAGCGGGACAGGAGAGCCCCGCTGACGTGTCTGCATGATTCCTACAGCTTTTCCGCGGGGCTCGGCTCATCTGTCCCTCTCACCGCCCCGCACAGGAGGAAGCGGCGTCAGCAAGATGGAGAGGAGGGGACAGAGGACGCGGCCGAGAGGAGGCCGCACACGCCTCCCGTGTCTCCCAGGCGCGGCCAGGGGAGCAGAGCGAGGGGCAGGGCACACGAGAGGACCGGCTTCCGGCCTTGACCGCGCTGTACAGGACGGACTTCCTGACAGCCCTTTGGGAAGGGGAGAGGGGGCGGGGTGGGCCTTGGGCTCGTCACTGAGTCTTACAGAACCCTGTGTTCTCAGCGGCAGGAGGCCAGCAGAGAAGGCAGCGTGCCCTGCCACGCCAGGTGCCATTCATTGCAGATAACCTGCGGCTTTGGTTTCTTGGTTAATCCTCACCGGAGGGTATTTTTTCCATTGATTTTTAAACAGAGTGGAAGGGAGGGAGGAAGAGAGAGACAGAGAAACACTGATGTGAGAGAGACTCATTGATTGTTGCCTCCCATACGTGCCTCGACTGGGGGTCAAACCTGCAACCCAGGTTCGTGACTGTGACCGGGAATTGAACCCATGACCCTTCAGTATGTGGGCTGACGTTCCCACCACTGAACCACATGGGCTGGGCCCAGCAGTTTTTTTTTTTTTAAGGAGGAAAATCTTAAAGAACGTGGGGTGTGATGTAAGGCTCAGAGGGCTTTGGAGTGAATTTTACACACCATTTTGCTCTGAGTTTGTAGATGGCTCTGTCAGGCAAAATTCTGCATCACAACTAAGCTTAACTAAAAAAGCAAGAAGACCAAAACGCAGTCAGATAAAAGTAAACCAAGTGTCTGTTCCAGCCTGAGCAGGCTCCGCGCCAAGCCCTGGGCTCTCGCTCACCCAGTCCCGCCGCAGGGGCGCTTCTCAGGGCTCAGAGAGACTGGGGTGCCACCTGGGGAGACGCGACAGCAGGGTTTGCCCTTGGCGATGAGCTACCTTCAAATCCTGCTGCGAGATCCAGGTAATTCATCCCTTCTTTCTTATATCCGATGGTTGCAGTCAGCTGAGCATACTGGTCATCATCCATAGGCATCCCGTTATTTTCCAGCACCTGGCAGGGAGACGGTGAGGGGGGGCGGTTATGTGGTCTGGGTCCCGGCCGAGCCCGCAGCCCCGCAGCCCCACGCTCCAGCCTGCAATCAGTACTTGTCTGCCCCACCCACAGGCTCCTGCAGGCAGGCCCGGTGCCCTGGGTCCCTGGCCCTGTACAAGGTTTGTTTGTTGTGTCAGTGGGCGAACAAGGGAGCCAGCGGGCGCCCAGCCTGGGGCTCTGTCTGCAGGGCGTTCGGGCTGCAGCAGCACCGCAGACCTTCTCGGGGCCGGGCCATCCGAGTCACTGAGATCCACACGTGCTGGGACTGCAATGGCTTTCGAGTCTCATATGTTAGATTTATATTCACATGTATCCTGGGAAACACGGACAAAATAAAGCAAGGCAGTTTGTGGAGGAAACGGTAAAATTTTGATGGAAGTTTCATTCTGACAGACAGTTTACACGGCAAGCCTTGTTTCTGGGGGCACCCACGGCACTTCTTTTCTCTCCCGAGACACGCCACTCACTGAACGTTACCCAGGATCCTTCACTCACCACATGCACCGACTGCTTACCGTTTCCATCCTGTGTACGTGTCTGTGTGTGTGGGGGGTGGGGGTGGGAGGGCAATTACCTAGACGACACTGTCCCAGGAGATGGGATGGGCTGTTCAAGGGACAGATGTTGACGTCACCCTTTTGTCAATGGCCAGTCAACTCCCTGCCTGGAGGTGAGACCCCAGAAATGATGCTGGGAGGAGACAGGCGGGACAGAAGGCACCATCCCTGCTGCTCTCAAAGTATTTGCAATTTAAATGAGAAAACACGGCTTTTCTTCTAGGAAAAGAACATAGAGTCCCATGAGCCCCACCCCCATCCCATGCCAGGGCATACGAAGGAAGGCTGTCTGGGAGAGCCGCGTCTGGAGATGGGTTTTGAAGAAAGTGTGTGTTGGAGGCCTGGGGACACGCAGATCAGCTGATAACAAATGTCAGGGGTCTGACGGCACAGGAAGCCAGAGGAAGCCAAAAAGCAGAGGCATAGCAGGATCAGCACTACACTGACTGCGTTCAGGGAGAAAGCTAAACAGGGAGAAGAAACAGGAAGATGAAGTGAGATAGGACACTTCATCATCACCATCACCATCTTTATCCTCATCATCACCATCTTCATCATCACCGTTACCATCATCACCATCACCACCATTACCATCTTCTTCACCATCAGCAGCATCACCATCAGCACCATCACCATTATCACCACCATTACCATCACCATCATCACCATCACCATCTTTATCCTCATCATCACCATTACCATCATCACCATTACCATCTTCATCAGCATCATCACCAACATCACCATCACCATCACCATCATTATCACCATCATAACCATCATCATCATAAACATCAGCACCATCACTGTCACCATCATCATCATAACCATCATCATCATCACACTCATAACTATCACCTTCATAACCATCATCATCATCACTATCATCGTCACCATCATAATCACCATCATCATCACAACCATCACCATCATTACCATCACAAACACCATCATCATCATCTTCATGTAGCAATGCTATGTGCCAGGCATTGTGCTAAGTTCCTCACAGGCATTTTTAAGTCTCAGTGAATACGTATAATAAGCCTTGCAATTTAAATGAGAAAACACGGCTTTTCTTCTAGGAAAAGAACATAGAGTCGCATGAGCCCCACCCCCATCCCATGCCAGGGCATATGAAGGAAGTCACTATTACTAACCCATTCTAAAGATGTGGAAACCAAGGCTTAGAGAGTTCAAGTGACTTGCCCCAGTTACATTACTAGGAAATGACAGGCCTGGTTTCAAAGCCAGTTCTTATCAAGCACTATGATCAACTCCACGATTGGAATAATGTGCCTGGGGAAGGGCTCTGTCTGAGCCTGGCACCTCTCATGTACCCCAATCAGTCACACAGTGAGAGGCTAACCTGGCCGTGGTAGAACACCATAGAGATCCCTGGAACACCAAGGATGGGAGCCTTGCCCGGGTTCAGATGAGGGACGGAGCCTTCTGCCCGCCTTCTCTCACTACAGCTGCAGACTACATGCCCACTTAGCTGCACAGGGTACCCGCAACCTGCAGGGCAGCTGTCAACTCCTGTTTTGGTGTCGTCCTTTTTGGTGTGTGGGACTGGGACGCAGGGAGCTGGCACCTTAGGCTGTGTACGTCAGTAATACACTGACTACAACAGACAGCGGCTCATTGTATCTGTACCGCCCAGTTGGTCAAGCCCTGGAGTCGGCTGGGCGTGTGCGTGTGTGTGTAAACAAGCCGCAGGGTGTGCTTGGTGCAGGATCAGAAAGAAGGGAAACAGGGGGTATGCAGGTATTGCTGCATTGCCTGGGAGCCTCGTGGGGAGCAGAGCTGGATTCCAAGACCATCAAGGGCCTGCCTGGGGACTCGGCAGGCTGCACATGACTGGAAGCTCTGGCAGTTCCATGCCATCTGCACACGCACCCCGTCCCGGCCTGGGGGGAGCTGTCCCAGCGGGGCCATGCAAGTCCTCCGACAGACAGCTGTGCCCACGTGGAAGCAGCAAAATGGACAGATTGCTTTCTTTGAAAAATAACTTTATGGAACGTACATGCATAACCCATGGACACAGACACTGACGTGTGGTGAAAG